TTCTAATATTGTTTCTTTTAATACTGTAAACCACCTTTGATCAGCTTACAGTATTAATATTGTGAGATGCCTTGTGTCCCCATATTGGGAGAAGGGCAGCCTATAAATAAACAAACAAGCTAGAACAATACATTCATACAATATTTAATATTTAATGGAATATTTGTTTACAAATTAAACAAATATAGTAACAAAACTAGTATATAAAATAATATATGTGATTTTAAATAAATAAAAATTGAATATAAACATTTTAAATAAACATTTTAATAAATAAGTACGGTAATATTTTATATAAGCAAATAACAATAAATTTGCAATATATGGCAATATTTTACCAGCACTACCCAACAGTACTTTATACAGAACAAATGAGCAGTATTTCTGCTTAAGAATAATTGGACATATATTTGACAATAGAAACGATCACATTCTGCCTATGCTCTGACTACAGAGTGGCCATTTTTGAACAGAAAAATTTCAAAGACAGATTCCAAAGGGAATCAGCTAAGTAAGAATGCATCTAGAGATTCAACTCTATCTTCCTTGACTTGGACAGAAACAGGAGCTTTTTATCTCATGACATACATTAATCAGCTTATTCACATAGTATGCTTGATGACAATTGTTTGGATAATTTCCTCTACTTCCTAATGTTTGTATTCCTATTCCCCCTGCCCCCATTGATTTCAACTCTAGGCCAACTTATGGGTATTGTTCTTTCAATACATTAGGCTTAAACAAAGGCTCTTCTTCACTTGGCCTGTATTAATCTTATCTAATCCTGAATAAAGCTATCATCCACCAGTTAATTTTGAGTGAGTCTCATAGTGGTCTTAACTCCATTAAGAGCACTATCACTCCCATGGACTGTCACTTACTGTTAATGACTACTGACTGATCATCACCATGATTGACCCTTTTGCCATTACCCTGCTGGATGAATTTTCCAGGATAGATTAGCTAGAAACATCCAACCCTCTGCAAACTTGGCAGCGGGAAGGAAATGTTGGATCATGCAAACCTTGTGTACCCTTGGGCCTCAGGAGATCAACTTCCCAGAAATAGCCAGCTCTGTTGCAGAGCCCAAGGAGAAGGCTTGACTACATCCTAGCTCACATTACCATTGCAAGATACAAGCTCTACTAGAAGCTCCCTGGGAAAGGGGTCGTCTTCAAGGAAAGGCTCCTTGAGGCTTCCTCAAAACTATGGTGTCTCTTTCAGGGAAAGCTCTTCTTGTTAGGGAGACCTGGCCTGGCTTGACTTTTGCACTGTCCATGGACTCTGGTCATGGATTCCCACCTGCTACTTGACTTGGTTGTAGAACCACTGGTTAAATCACTGCCTTTTGTTAGGAGTGCCCCACTCTGCACAGACTTTTGACCCTGGGGCCCACTTACCTAAGAGCAAGTTTTCTTATTGCATTTCCACCACATTCCATATACCAATTCTCTGTTCCCTAGAACTAGTCTCCGTATAAAAGTCTGTCTACTGAGATTACACAATATGCATCCAAAGAATAGAGCTACAGGCCACGGATGGTTATACTATATAAAACTGAATCTTTAATGTGCAACCAGATTTGTGATTGTTGCAGCAGAATATCACAGCTACCCCCAGAATATTCATGCAAAAAGAAAACAGACATACATTAAAAACTCCTGACTTAACTTTAAAATCATATACTGTAAGCAGTAATGATGTACATTCTCATATAATGTGTCTACTTATAATGTATGGATTCCATACAGTCACACTTTCCCTTATTTCCAAGTTATTTCTCTTCCCCGTAGACTATAAACATTTACTGCTTACGTAGGCCAAGATCCAACAGTGTTTTTTTTTATCCAGTGTCAGTAGAATAAGTTTCCTCTTTTCCCCCTACCTGCTGCAGTCCCTCTTTGCTTTTTAGAGTGCAGAGAGAACTGCAGAAAAGAGAGTGGATCAATGATTATGGTGAAAATGGTGGGATCTGCCAGAAATAAACAACTGGATCTAAGTACAATCCAACTGTATAACCTTGCTTGTTCTGGATTGTAATTTCTCTGCTTTCTGATACGTGCGTGAATCCTTAAACAACTTCTCTTCAACATAAATGTTTTGCAGCTTCAAAACTGTGTTGAGTGTACAGTGCTTTGTTTAGGAAAAAGCTTTAGATGCAAGTTACAGTTGCTAAAAATGAAGTAATGAACAACACAGCCCCTCTTTCTTTGTAATTAAGAGGATTTGTCAATGATCAACCTTCTTTGTGTTCTCTTCAGCAAAAACCGAAGATATTCTGATTTTAACAGACACTGAGCAAGGGCCAATTCTCTCATTGCCAACTTTTTATGAAGCAGCATCTTCTATACTTCCTGCAGTTGGCTTCTAAATGGTTGTATTTTTGCTATTCCTCTAACACAGTACGTATTTGAGAGATAGTTTATTACACTAGGTGCTATTATTTTGCATGCCACTCTTAAATACATTTATTAACAGAAGATACACATGTTAAATACAGAGGATGCACATAGTAACAATAACAAAAGCAGCAACAACAATAATAATAAATGTAATAACAAGAAGAAACGGATGCGGGAAACAGGGACAGAATCAGGGAACTTCCTAAATCCCAGTCCTTCCGTCAGACTTAAAACCTCTTTCTTTTACCCCGACCCTTTAGCAACTGAACCTCCACATCGCCTCCAGCCGGCTTCTCGAGGGGAAACTCGCTCTTACCACTGCTCAGTCTCATCCCTCCAGGTCAGCGCAGCTCGCATGTTGCCCCTTTTATGAGCATCCCTCGGTCCCACTTTTTTATTTATTTATTTACACAGGACGCCAGACTGGCACCCAGGCAACACGCATGCGCAGTCGACTCCTTCCCAAGCTTCCGTTTCTTCTTCTTCTCGAGAGAGAACATCCCGTGGAACGATGAAGCCTCGAAGAATACACGAGCGCCCCGAAAGGCTTTCTTGCGCATGCCCGATCCTCTTCGTCGTAGCAACGCTATGTGCGTAGCGAGATCTTAATACCGCGGGAAAGGACGGCCTCGCTGCGCCTGCGCGTAAGTCAGGCAGCCTGTCATCTCCCGTCATGTTTTTTTTTCCCGCCATCGATCTTGGCGGCGTTGTTGCCCCGGCTGATGCTTCCGTTTTCCAGAGGTGGCTGAGATTCTAGGAAAGCCCGTGAGTCTAAGAGGAAGGAGGCGAGAACTCGGTGCAGGAAGCAAGGGGAGGAAGATGATGGCTGGTAAGGATTTGCCTGTAGTCTAGAGGAAGTGGTGGGAAAGGGAGGATGGAAAGAGACAGCATTAGGTAACTTGTATCTCTCTAGAAGCTGCTGGTTTGCAGCTGTTGTCCCTAATTACTCTTGATAGGGCTAGCTGGAGCGTGATTGAAATTGCACTCCAGCAACATCTGGAGGGCCGTACTCCCTTCCTGATCCTCCCCCAGTTTGATTTTTCTCCACAGGCTGGATTCTTGTAAGCAGAAATGCCATTTTAGCATGGAATATGCTGTAGGCATGCTGTTCTGTCAGTGCAAGGCTGTGGCAAACTGAAATAACATAATTTGCTTTTTGCCCTGTTGCTCCTTTGCCATTGTTGACTCTTCTGTTCCTTTTTTCCTAATGCATAAGTAAGTTGAGGTGCATACCCTCAGTAAATGAATTGCTGAGAAGGGTAAAAGACCACAGAGATGCATCATGTCGTTTTCAGCCTTGCACAGATGCCATGCATCAGCCAAGGATGATATGTTGTGGTTTGCTTGTTCTTTGCTCCAAAGATGAAAAAAGGCTTAGTGATAGAAAATCTGCAGAAACCACTGAGTGGGATGCAACCTGTAAAATATCAGCAGCAGGTGGCAACAGTTCCTTATGAACACATTGGAAGTGGGGCATATTTATAGACACATACACGGGTATGAGTTTCAGGAGGCTTCCAGAGGATGCCTTTGTGTACTGATAAGACTGGAGCTCTATCCAGAAGTGCTGGCATATGGAACTCATTGTGTAGCTATTCAACCTTTTTCTTACAGGATTTTCCCAGGTAAAGGAAAATAAAATAAAATAACAAAGGGAAAAAGGAAAATACAGATAAGCTGCAAATTGACATGTATTTATACAGCCCATGTCTGAAGAAGTGAATTTTGATCTATGAAAGCTTGCATTGAAATAAATCCGTTAGTCTTTCAAATGCTAGCGTATTTTGCCTACCCCTACCCCCTTTTCTTTTGCTAGCATGTTGAGATGGACTAATAGGGCTACTTCCTTGGAAAATGCTTGAAATTGAGAACACTCATCTGGAACACTTCTAACCTTCCGTGAGTGCGGCAGTGTCATTCTGGAATCATGTGGGGCTTTTATTGTGCAGTCACTTTATTGTGCTCTTGGAATTTTACAGGGGAGGAGGTGATTTTTCTTCCCCTTGTGACAATTTCATGTTTTACTTTTACTTCTTCCATTGGTTTTCCTTCCACCATTGAAAAAAAATCTGCTGAGGAAGAAAAAATAGAATAGCTTTATAATAAATATTGACTGGTAGTGCTAGGAGCCATCCACCTGGGAATGCATTCTGCTGAAGTCACTTAATGCAGTATATGGGTCCAGGAAGTGTATTCACTGCTTCATTATGTCTTGCCCAGGAAAAACTACTTTCTTCAGGTTAACCCCGGCCTTCTGCCAGTCAGTTTCAGTATGAAATCCTGAATTCTCATGAGAGAGACTGGAAGAGGCTTAGCTTCCATCTTAATAAATGAGACAGATGTCTATATAGCAGGTTTATTTAATGTATTTTTGATATTTTTAATTCCTATCAACTAAGAGTAAACCAGTTTTAGGAAAAAGCAATGATTATACAGTTGAAGAGCATAACATGACCAGGTATTAGATCAGGTTCATGCTGCTGAATGAGTCAAGACTGCAAAGAAAGTCCACATTTTAATGTTCTTATATTTACTTGCAGGGATATAAGCAATATATGGAAGATAACACATAAGCACATGATGGAAGATAACAAAGAAAAGGAGCAACTTACAACAGCAGCTGAAAAATGTCTCAAGAAAGAAGAGACTGAGGCTGTTGCAGAAAGTCTAACTCATTATAAAGACATTGAAGCAACTTCGTCTTCATCATGTCACTTGTGTCTCAAAGCACTTCCAGAAGGATGGGAAAAGATAATGAAGAAAAGGCAGACTGGCAAAACAGCAGGAAAATATGATGTATATTTTGTTAGGTAATGCTTATTCAAAATCTTTAAAATGTATTCTGGATGTTTCCTAGATGTCATTTGAGTTCAGTAGTTGGTGAAGAAAGTATTAAAAAGCTGCTTGTAGTTTTTATACAGTAATAGAACACCCAGTGGACCCTGTTGGACTAAGACTCAGGAGATCTCGGTTTGAATCCCCGCTCAGCCAGAGAAACTTACTGGGAGAGTAAAACCACTCCTTAAATATCTCATTTACATTGAAAGCCTTGTTAGGATCATTATAAGTCAGTTTCAGGACTGTAGCTTCTACTTTGCATCTTCAAAAATACTTTTCATTTTTTTAAAAAAATATTCTCCGTGTCCACTGTATACTCTATTGTATGGGTAGGCAAAGTGTGGTTTACAAGCCGTATTGACAGATTGTTCTGTTAGAACCCAGGGGTGTCGTGACTTGCCATTTAAAGTCTGTCTCCCTGCCCGCAGCCTGTTTGAAGCCTGAAATAGTTTTTTCTTAGACAAATAGAATGATTGGAGAGGGCAAAAATGGCCAAGTACCTTCAGTACTTTTCCAGTCCAGGCCTACAAGATGTTTACATCCCGTTGATAATACCTTTTTGGCTACTGTTTATGCTATAGGTTTATAATACAATAACAACTTAACTGTTTCCCTCTCTTTTAGTCCTCAAGGAACAAAGCTGAGATCCAGACGAGCCCTTTTAGAATACTTCAGAAAGAACAGAGAAACTGTTCTTAAATTAGAGGATTTTGATTTTTCTGTCTCTGTTCCAAAGAGGATACAAACAGCCAATTGTTGTAGAATCAGGACTGTGGAGTCAGAAGCACAGAGCTGTACCTCTGACAGCCAGAATCAAGAACGTAGGCTGCAAACTGGTGAAGTAGAAGATATCTCTCCACAAAATCAATTTTTGAAATTTCGAATCAGGGTTGGAAAGCGGGACAAGACTTCCGTTTCTTTGCAGAGTGAGTCCGCTACAGATGCTGTCTCAGAGGACTGTCATTTGAAAGCCAAGGAAAACGATAGAGTTGCCCAAACGGTTCAGATTAAGAAAGCCAGAAGTCATTCAGAAATTAGGAATTTGAATGATGACCAAAAGAGAAAACAGGGAATACCATCAAATAAAAAACAAGGGGTTGGATGCGTTAAAAATTCCAGACGAAAGACTGACTTACATGCCCTTAATAGTGATAATATATGTGGTGGCAAAGTGTGCCAGAAAGGCTCAAGGAAAAGAAAAACAGACCGGAAGGATGAACTGCTGTTTTCGCAGCCCAAACTGGAGCCACATGTTCCATCAGGTACAGATGTCTTGGAACACAAGTCAGGCACAGAAAACTTAAGAAGTGGCGAAGTTCTCAGCAGGAGAGTTACTGTAGCACTTGATGCAAACCTTTCAAAATCTGAAATGGAGAGAAATGGGCTGCCTTCAGAAAACCAGGGTTTGAAAATTGCTCCCAGTGTGGATGTTAATGTTCCACAGCTGTGTGATGAGAGATGTTTTACTTCATTAAAAGGTACGTATTTCTTTTTTTTATCGTACTTGAATGTTTTTCTAAGATTGTAGCAGGGATATTTGCAAGCTAATGGTGTGAAGGAACTTCAGGTTCCATATGGGTAAGCTGTTGGGGTGAACCCAGAAATAGTTGAATTGATGGAGTTTTGCTTTTGTGGGAACAAAGGTAGAAGGGTTTTGTAATTACTTTTTAGCACTTTAGAGGGAGGATCTTCTACAGCAGCGTGAGAGGGGATACGAGAAGAGGAGAAAGCCAATTTGATCCCTTCCTTCTTTAGACTGAAACTTCTACTGACTCCAAGTCTCATTCTGCATGTAGCCTGGGCTTTCTGTTCAAATGTGTTTGGTTTTTATATTGTGTATCACCATCTCTGACAGATACTGCTTTCCTTCACTAACTTTTTTTATTATTTAATTATTTTATTATTTTTACCCTGCTTTTCTCCAAAAAAAAGGACCGAAGGCAGCTTACGTCATTAAAAGGACAAGATATGAAAGCTAAAAAAATGTTATGCAATTATTTTAAAAGAATTTTATTTTATTTTAATTAATATTACTGTATTAGGTAGGCAAAAGCACTACTAAACCATTATTTTATCTAATATTATTAGGTAAGTAAAAACACTACTGAAACATTATCTTATTTAATATTATTAGATAGGTAAAAGCACTACTAAAACATTTTATCTAATATTATTAGAAAGATAAAAACACTAGTAAAACATTTAAAAGCAAAATACAAACCATCCCATTCCAAAAAGCTCTCTCAGATAGCAGGTCACCAAGGGAAAGCCTGCCTGAAAAGAAAGTTCTCTGGCTGCTTGAGAAAGGACAGCAAAGATGGGGCCACCAGATGATTATCTGTCAATGACAACAAAACTGCAGAGAGTTCCTCCACACCCAGATCACCAACATTTACTCCAGTACAGAAAAACAGGTCTAAAGTGTGCCCTGCAGCAGTGTGAGTGGGAGAAGTTGTCATTTGAGACAGGCCCATGGTTGTCAGAGAGCAGGGGTCCCCAACCTCCGGTCTGCGGCTCGGTGCTGGTCCATGGCATGGACCAGGCCGCCGAGACAGATCTTCCACCCACCCCGCATGCACTCCCCCTGCACAGCCACTTTGTGCATGTGCGTGAGTGCCCCCTGCCCGTCGCCCCCCCGCACAACCACTTTGTGCATGTGCGCACGTGCCCGCCCACACAAGTCCCCCCGCCCCTTTGTGCATGAGTGCCCCCTGCCTGTCGTGCATGTCCCCTGCTGTTTTGTGCATGAGCATCCAAGAAGGCCCTGCCCCTTTTGCACATGCGCAGGGGGGGCCGCCCTGCTTTCCCCAACTGGTCCACAGTGTTAAAAAGGTTGGGGACCACTGTAGAGGACACAGTCCTCAGCCATTCCTCACAAAGCTACTTTGGCATGGATGTTGAAGTCCCCCAAGACTAGCTCAGCTAGCTCAAGCAGGGAGACTTTACAGCAGTGTGAATCCTTATTCTGTCCTAGATTCCCACTTTCAGATATACACATTCAAACCTGGAAAACTAGGGGATGTGACATCTGGTGTCAAGGGAGGGACTCATGATAGGTTACATGCAGTTCCCTGCCCTCCTCCAAGGTCTGCCCTGCTGCTGCATGGAAAAGCCTGGTGGGCAAAGCTGAGTGAGATTAGCACCCTCGTCCTCATCCAGCCAGATCTCAGCAATACATGCCAGGTCGGCAGGCTCGTGCTCCTAGACGGTGGCTGTTTTCCCATTTACCTATGTAGCAGTTTTATGTTTTATTTGAAAAGCTCATTCATTCTAGTCAAGAAAACTAGATGTATGCTGTCATCAAATGTTCCCTCTAATTTTCCGCCAGTGCTGGGGGGGTGGTCCTGCACAACACCGATGAGGTGCTACGCACTCATGCATCTTAGAGAGAAGGTTGGTTGTGACCTATAAAGTCTTATGTGACCAATGTCCAGGCTGTCTAAAAGATCACATCTCCCTATATAAGCTCCCCGGGTTTTACAAGTACTGTACCAGGGAGGTGGTTTTCTCAGTACCAGCATACTCGCAAGATACCTGATGAGGGTCTTTTCAGTGACTGCTCACAGGCTGTGGAGCTCCCTTCCCCAGGAAGCTCAGGAGGCCCTTCCAGTTCTCTCTTCTAAGAAGCCTTTGGCTGCTGAATGGGCTGCAGAGAGAGGAGGTAGCACTGGGGTATGTGGGTGTGGCATTTCACCTGTTGATATTTACATATTTGTTTAATGGACAGAATCCTGTTGATGATTGATGAGTGTATAAGGTAAATTGTGTAATTCACCAAGGCGCTTTGCCACTAACTAACATCTACATCGGCTTGGGCATGTCGTGAGAATGGCTGACAGACGGATTCCAAAAGATCTCCTGTATGGAGAGTTAGTGCAGGGAAGGTGCCCCAGAGGGAAACCACAGCTGCAATACAAGGATTTCTGCAAGTGGTATCTGAAGGCCTTAGGAATGGACCTCAACCGATGGGAAACCCTGACATCTGAGAGTTCAGACTGGAGGCAGGCTATGCTGCATGGCCTCTCCCAATTTGAAGAGACCCTTGTCCAGCAGGCCAAGGCAAAGAGGCAATCATGAAACCAGCAAAATCAGGGAGCCGGACAAGGGGCAGATTGTATCTGTCTTCAGTGTGGAAGGAATTGTCACTCTCAAATTGGCCTTCTCAGCTACACTAGGCGCTGTTCCAAGACCTCTGTTTGGAGCATGTTACCATAGTCTCTCGAAACTGAAGGATGCCTACCTACCAGTATAAGAAATGTTTGACATTTCTACTTCATTACTCATTTTAATTCATTGTATAAGCAAGAGTCCTTGACAAACCTACCTAGTAAAACCATAGTCTCTCGAGACTGAAGGATGCCTATTAACAAGGCACTGGTTGCATTATGATGCACATGCCCAGTTGTATAGCAGGTGCACATACGTAGTCACACAACTGACACATCACTAATTAGTACCATTTTGCTGCCACAAGTTAAGCAATTTAATTTATGCATGCATAAATTATCCAAAGGATTGTAGTCAATGTTTAACAATTGCTTATAAGTTAATGTTTTTAATTAGATATGGTTAATTTCATTTATAAGATCAGAATTTATGTGTTTCAAAGGTTCTGTTTTTGCTCCCATTTTGCAAGCTGATTGGGTCCCTAAATCTGAAGAAAGATGGAAAATAAATAAAATGAAATGAATAAATAAATAAATAATAAAGGACTGAGTAACACTTGTCAAATTTATATGAATTAATTATATGCATTTGTTTTTCACAATGCATTGCAACAGAGAAACGTATTCAAAGAACTCAAATGGAAAGAAGGAAAACTAGTCCATATTTTTCCAGTAAATTCACCAAAGAAGGTAAGACTTCTGGGAGTTCTCAGTCCACATACTGCTGAAGCCTACCTTGTAGGATTTTGAGCATAACCTTGCTAGCGTGCGAAATGAGTGCAATTGTACGGTAGTTGGAGCATTCTTTGGCACTGCCTTTCTTTGGGATTGGGATGTAGACTGATCTTTTCCAATCCTCTGGCCACTGTTGAGTTTTCCAAACTTGCTGGCATATTGTATGTAGCACCTTAACAGCATCATCTTTCAAGATTTTAAATAGTTCAACTGGAATGCCATCACCTCCACTGGCCTTGTTGTTAGCCAGGCTTTCTAAGGCCCACTCGACTTCGCTCTCCAGGATGTCTGGCTCAAGGTCAGCAACTACATTGTCTGGGTTGTCCGGGACATCCAGATCTTTCTGGTATAATTCCTCTGTGTATTCTTGCCACCTCGTCTTGACATCTTCTGCTTCTGTTAGGTCCTTCCCATTTTTGTCTTTTATCATGTTCATCTTTGCGGTACAAACTATCTAATACAATCTATTGCTTAGTCCTAGTTATTTTTACTTGGAAGTAATTCAAATTGATTGCATCATCACAGGCTAAATATTATGGACGTCTATTTAGAAATGAATTCCCGTGAACTCAATGAGACTGTATGCCAATTAAAAATGCATTGAATTCAGTTATTCATCTCCCATTTCTGTGTGACCAGGAAATGCTGCAGTCATCTGCATTTATAGAGCCCTTCTCCCCCTCCAGTTTGAGTCATTATTAATATATGGATAATAAGTTATTTCAAGGTGTGTCAAATTAATGTTAGCATTTTGCCTAATTGAACAGTTGCCTAGAATCTGGTGTATGTGGTACTGAGGGAGAAAATTATATCCGAGTACTGGGAATTCCTTCTAGAAGGTAAATGTAACTCACAAGGTGAGATAGTGCAAACTGACATTGATGTGATGGGCAACTATGGCTGTCTGTATTAACGAGGCAGTATGAAACCTAGTTTGCATCCTCCTTTCCTTAGAAAAGCCTGTTTTCCATTTTAATCAAGCCATAGTTCTCTCCCATGACCACACTTGCAGTAGCTGTGGTTCACTTAAAATGGATAGGCAAATATGGTCCTCCAGAAATATGTAGGCAACAACTCCCAGATTCCCTCACGGTTGATTAGACTAGCTAGTGCTTGTAGCAAATGTAGTCTGACAACATCTGTAGAGCCACAGTTCCTCACCCCTAGTTTAAAACACTAGCTGTGAAAAAGAAGGTAGGATTAAACAATGGCTCCTTCTCTCGGTTTGTTTTGGCTACCAAAAATGGCTGCCATTTTCAGTTCCTAGTATGGATTGCAAGTTGGTCAGGCAGGTAAAAGGAATATTCATAAGATACCTAGGCATGCCTTAGTATTCACTGGCACTTATTCACTGGCACTAATCTTACAGAGGCTGTTGAAACAGTTGTGTGGGATAGAAATAACCTGATCTCTCTTCGGAGGATGAAAAGAAAGTATAAACTGTACCTTTTCTTGTCTCCCTGAATGCAGCTGGATTTGAATGAATCTGTAGTATTTTTAAAAAATCACTTTGAACTTTCAATTGTCTGTATATAGCTCCAAGCCCACCTAGAAGAAAGGCTTTTAAGAAATGGATTCCACCTCGCTCTCCTTTTAATTTGGTCCAAGAAACATTGTTCCATGATCCATGGAAGCTACTAATTGCAACAATATTTCTGAATAAGACCTCAGGTAAATAAAATAAGCAGTATGCTCTCTCTTGGACTCCCCCTGAACAGCAAAACAAGATGGAGTTGTTTTTCTGTCAGGATATAATCTACTGAAGAGCACGCATGAATCGGCCAGTTTCCTCAGGGGTGAGCAACTTGTACCCTCCATCTATTGTTGAGCTGCAGTTCCTTAGGTGACGTTGAAGAATGATGGGAATTGCAACCCAGCAACATCTGGAGGACCGCAACTGCCCACTCCTGGACTAGCAAATGAAACCAGTCCTGTGTTTCCCACTGGGTACTGACCAAAAAAGCAAAGCAAAGCGTGCTGCTTATATATCGCCCCATAGCGCTTCAAGCACTCTCTGGGCGGTTTACAATTTAATTATGCAGGCTACACATTGCCCCCCCCCCAGCAAGCTGGGTACTCATTTTACCGACCTCAGAAGGATAGAAGGCTAAGTCAACCTTGAGCCGGCTACCTGGGATTTGAACCCCAGGTCGTGAGCACAGTTTAGGCTGCAGTACAGCGGTTTAACCACTGTGCCACTGTTAAAGACATGTACAAATGGCTTTGCCCAAGTGGTTTCTTGATTTACACATCATTTTAGCTAGTGGTGGGCAGGACAGGGAGGAGAAGAGAAGAGGGGCAACGTTGACCTTAGCCTTGCAAACTAAATTCCTGCTATTAAAATGAAGATTAAATGAGGCTGAATATATTGTGCAAGATTGCCATCACACATTCAGTTAAAAAACATTATTAGTAGTTTTCTGATGACTGTACCAAGACTACAATATATATTTCTGCTCCCTAAGGCTGCTTCACACAAGATGAATTTTCATTGGAGGTCATATATCTGTTGGGAGGTCCCAGAATCTTACAGGCGGCCAAAAGCTATGTAGAGCAGCACAATTCATGCCAAGTGAAACCGTTTGTGAAGAAATTTAGTGCAGACCTTTCCATTCATGTTCTTTTCAGACTTTCATGTTATTTCTGACCAGGAAAAATGGCCATTCCGGTCCTGTGGGAATTTTTAAAGAAATATCCTTCAGCTACAGTGGCGAGAACTGCTGACTGGAAGGAAATGTCAGAGCTACTTAAACCCCTTGGCTTGTATGAACTCAGAGCGAAGACCATCATCAAATTTTCAGGTAGCCTTTTTTGTACATATAATAGCAGTACCTAGAATAAAGTGTAGTGGGTCTTTTTGTTTAGTGTTCAGCATGCTTTGCACTGGCCAGGGTAAACCCTTGGCTACACCCTGTGAAACCTTGACTCCACTTTTCCTTGTATAAATACTGTGGTTTTGGATTCTCACTGCTTAGAAAACCAGGAACTCCAGACTACATAATAATTTCTTCCTGACTAATTGAAGATATTAGCAGTGGTGCAGTTTTCTGTAGCAGCAATGTATTTTATTCATTTTTTTACATCATTGTGATTTGTTTCACTTCATGTAAATAAGATTTCACAAATAGAAAAGTACTAGAATTCTTAAAAAGTTTGCCTTGGATCTTTTATTGTGATGCACTTTTTTTTCCTAGATGAATATTTGGTCAAACAATGGAAATATCCTATTGAGTTGCATGGGATCGGGAAATATGGAAATGACTCTTACAGGATCTTCTGTGTCAATGAGTGGAAAGAGGTAACACATGCTGCCCTGTATTTAAATTGAGGAAAGGCACGGATTACTAATTTAGCAGTGTTTCTGGAATGGAATGGCCTACTCTTGATTCTATATGCCCTTTCTCCTGTGATTCAGGATGTACAATCACTTTTGGAATAGCAGACTAATTGTGTTCTCTGCAGAACTCACATAAAAGGAGTTGCCTTACGCAGTACTGCCAGTTGCCCCTATTCAGGCCTTGCCAAAGCAGCAGAAACAGTTGGCTCTGTGAAAGTGGTTTTAGGCATCCTGGAGGAAGTGGGACTACCTAGACACTTTTGAACTTCACCCTCAGGGCCATCAGCATGGCCCTAGGCGGGGTTAACAGACGCTACTGCCAATAGTACAGTGGTGCCCCGCATAACGAGCGATTCTTTTAACGACGAATCCGCATAGCGATGTATTTTTTGCGATCGCAAAAGCGATTGCATTGCGATGTTTTAAATGGTAAAACATCACATTGCGATGATCGGTAAGCGTTTCGCTTACCGATTTTCGCATAGCAATGTTTTCAGAACAGTTGATTGACGGTTCCAAAATGGCCGCCCGCTGTGTTTTTGCCTGGATTCCTTGCTTACCGGGCAGCGAAAATGGCGGCCGCATGGAGGACCTTCGCATAACAGTGAGTTTTTTGCCCATAGGAACGCATTAAACGTGGTTTAATGCATTCCTATGGGCATCTTTGTCCGCATAGCGACGAATCCGTATAGCGACGATTTTTTCGGAATGGATTATTGTCGCTATGCGGGCCACCACTGTATTTTTATTTATTTAAAATACTTTTCTCCTTAAAAAGGACCCAAGGTGGCTTACAATTAAAAGACAGTATATACAGATACAAAAAAGATCAAACAAATGCTATACTAAAAAACATAATCCAAAACATTCAAAGCAATAAGGTACAACAATCCATTTGAAAGGAAAAGGACCCAAGGTGGCTTACAATTAAAAGACAGTATATACAGATACAAAAAAGATCAAACAAATGCTATACTAAAAAACATAACCCAAAACATTCAAAGCAATAAAGTACAACAATCCATTTGAAAGCCCCATTGAGGCAGCCAGTAACTCAGGGAAAGCTTTCCTGAAGAGAAAAGTCTTTGCCTGCTTGCAGAAGGATAGCAAAGATGGGGCCAGTCTGGCCTCCAATGACTGGGAGCAGCAATAGTAAAGACATGTACTTTCCTGTGTACCCACCAAATGCACCTTTGTGAAGGTGGTGAATGTAAAAGAGATTTTTTAATAGCACTTTAAATATATGAACTGGTGCTGTTGCAGAGTGGGCTTCCATGAAATAAAACAACTACTAAGGCACAATATAAGACCAACTCACTTTTCCACTATTTCTAGATGTTAAAAGGTAAAGGTTCCCCTTGACAATTTTTGTCCAGTCATGTCCGACTCTAGGGGGCGGCGCTCATCCCGCTCTTCAAGCCATAGAGCCAGCGTTTGTCCGAAGACAATCTTTCCGTGGTCACATGGCCAGTGTGATTTAGACACGGAACGCTGTTTACCTTTCCACCGAGATGGTACCTATTTATCTACTCGCATTTGCATGCTTTCGAACGGCTAGGTTGGCGGGAGTTCTAGATGTTACAACATCTCAAAAGCTTCACCCTAATTTTTGTTTCCTCAAAAAGAAGACAAATGTATTTCGATAGAACTTAAATGTTGGAAATATCGCAATAAGCTGCAAAATGGATTTCTTTGTCTATTTAATCATTTTAAACATGATAAAATTTCCTCTTTGAACTAAAATCTTGACTTTCTTTCAGGTTCAACCACAAGACCATAAGCTGAATGTATATCATACTTGGCTTCAGGAGAACTATGAGAAACTGGATCATAATAATTAGCACTGCATGCACATGCCTTACTGTCTTTTAAAAATCTGGCAGATGCTAGTGTCCCTTTTAGTTACTATAAAATGAAACCAGTATTTTTATATACATGATAGCGCACTCTGGACATTTTATTAAATAATATTTGTATATAATGTTGTTCAAAAGCTGTAATTAAAGTCAACTAAGAACTTTTAATATAATGGCTTCTAAATTGTTCATTATGATGTATTAATAATATATTGTTCATTAATAATGCATTAATAATACAAATCTTAGTGGTACATAGATGTGGAATTGATGCAGTTAAATATAGCATTTTCCAAAGTCCTTGTAAGGAGGTACTGGAGGTACACATCAAACTGGACTTCACTGTTTCGTTAAGTGCTGCCATTTAACCTCTCCTATTAAAATACCTTTCTAAGGAGCACGTTACTTATTTAAATGCCTGCTTGAAAAGACAGACCTTTGCCTGACAAGTACAAATCCCATTGTCCCTGATACTTGGCCATGTTGGCTGATAGTTCTGAGTCCAAAGCAGCTGGTCAGGCAAAGATTCTTCCCATCTCCGTAGGGAGCGCCTTTATTCCACCAACAGGTTTCAGCCAACCTAAACTAGTGTTTCTGTTTAAAGGTTGGTTATGGCTAGGATTCTGTTCATGTTAGCTGCTGAAAAACTCTTCTATAGCTCAAAACTGCTAGACTACTGATAATGTTGAGAGGAAATGATTTCCTATACAAAGTGTCAACAGTTACCTTCATTCTCTTTCCACACATTTAGTCCAAACTTTTACTGACAACTGGGAATAATTTGGCATGACCCTGTCACATTCTCAGGGGATTCAGCAGGTGAAAGTCCGATAAGCCAGTCCAATGTCAGAAGTCCGGGAGATCAAAACAGATGCTGAATTGTCAAAACCAAAACACAAACCGTAGTCCAAAGTCCGAGTGCCAAGGGTCAGGAGAGCAAGGTCGTTCAGGATAAACCAGAGTGTGGACGCAAGCCAGGGAATTGACTTGATGTTTCTATGAGAAGCATGCCAGCTTCAGATCTACCTGTTGTAAGTTTCTGCTGGAGCCTATCCCTAACTCTGAGGGGAGGGAGGGAGGATAAATTGACAGTGATTCATTACTGATTGCAGCTGTCTGTGATAACAGAGGGCCTCCAATTCCACTAATTGCCGCCCACTTCCCTGGGCTGCAATTAACTCATCCAATTCCAGGTCTTCTTCAGCTGAACTCATGACAGACCCCTTGAAACCAATCCTATAACTTAAATTTTCTGTAAGTACCATGTTCTCATATTTTTAATGATGTGCATTGTCTAAGATCAGGACTTAGCAAAGTGTGTTCTAGAATGTAAGGTCCTTAATGTTTAGAATGGTAGACATGAACCAGGGGAAACCTTGGGTTCAGAACCCTACAATGCCACAAATTACTACCACTTTGAGCCTCACCCATTTTACAGGATTTTAACTGAGATAAGTCAGGACTGTTAGAATGGTAGACATGAACCAGGGGAAACGTTGGGTTCAGAACCCTACTATGCCACAAATTACTATCACTTTGAGCCTCACCTATTTTACAGGATTTTAATTGAGATAAGTCAGGACTGTTTTAAAGATACAATAGGACAGTTGCTAGATCCATGTTTGCCAACCTCAACTCTTACAAGGAAGAGCAGGATAAAACATGATCATGTGTCTCATGAATTCTGATTTATGGCAATCCTTTTTTCAGAATGTTCAGCGAATACTCCAGTTGTTTACCATTCATTTCTTCTGGGGGAACCTTGGAACTGTGCAGCTTGCCCAGGGCCACACAGGATGGCTCCATTTGCAGGAGGCATAGTGGGAAATTGAACTCCCAACCTCTTGCTTTGCAGTCAGGTACTTAAACCACTGGGCTATCCAGCCTGCTACAACATAAAAAGTATAAATAGAAGTAATCTAGTTGCACTCAAGATGACAGGCTAGAGCAAATGAAATCCATACTGTGCATCTCACTCACTGAAGAGACTTTCTGTGAATCCCCTACTTTCAGCCTCAGCTGCACTTTGTGCAATAAAAGGAAAACATTTGTCCTCAATTACCAGTTTAATGTAAGAGTTTTGTAGGAGTTTTTTTGGTAGGGCACTTTAGTATTACAAAGTGCTACACGTGTTGCATGTTACTCTGTTTTGGAGATGAAACATGAAATTTTCCTTCATGGTTGGATACTTCTTATTCAATGGCAACAAAAAAATTTAAAAAGAAAGTTACCAACATAAGCTCTCCAGAATTGTGTAGTTCCTTAAGGCTTTTTCTTCAACAGAAATATCAAATAGATACTGTACAGTACTTCATTCATTTAATGATGTGGAATTCAGACCATAGAGCTTTGTAACACAGTGGCCAGAAGTGGTGTTTGTATGTGATTTACTTAACTTGCCATGTCTAAAGGTAAAGGTTCCCCTAGACATTTAGTCCAGTTGTGTCCCACTCTAGGGTGCAATGCTCATCCCCGTTTCCAAGCCATAGAGCCAGTGTTTGTCCAAAGACAGTTTCTGTGGTCACGTGGCCAGCGCGACTAGACACAGAACGCCGTTACCTTCCCACCGAGGTGGTACATATTTATCTGCTCGCATTTGCATGCTTTCGAACTGCTAGGTTGGCAGGAGCTGGGACAAGTGACGGGAGCTCACTCTGCTGCGTGGATTCGATCTTACGACTACTGGAATTCTGACCCTGCAGCACAGAGGCTTCTGTGGTTTAACCCACAGCTCTAGCACGTCCCTTTTTGCCATGGCTACTTCTGGCTAATTATGAGATGCTAGGGCACATCTCGATTGCACAGTCAGGTGTATGACCAGCAAGCCATTGCACTTTGTGAGTTAACTGTAATTAGCCATGGCAGGTTACTCAAAACATGGGCAAATCTCAGTGCAAGCTGGTAATTCATTCATGAATTTTTGAATAGGTGTAAACTGAGTTTTGCTGCAGACCAGTACAGACCCATCTGAAGTTTGTAAAGTACCTTTTTTTTGTTTTTCATAAAAAGCTGGTGGATGAATAATACCTAAATTCTTCTTCTATATGTACAAGCCTATTGCCAACTGCTGACGTGGGAAGTGCAGATGTAGGGCTATGTCAGTTGCGCTCAAAGCCCTCCCAACCATGAGGCAGAATGAAGCGGCTGCCTCTGGTGAAAGAAACTGGGTCGGGGCCCTGGCTAGATAGTCTGGTGGGATCAGGTGCAGCGGGGCGTTGACAACGCCTCTCTGCTGGAGGTCCGGAGTCTGTGTCCGTGCGCTCTATGTGCATTCCTGGTAGCCTTCCTTGTACTCCATAAAGCGGGCTGCTGCCCTGTCCCCAGGGCCACCGGCCTCGAATCAAATTGGGGCGGTGGGGGGGAAGGAGACACTTTCTTTGCCTCAGGGAGGAAAACCTCTCGGCCCGGCCAGTTTTAAACGTTTGAGCCTCAAGTCAGCATTCTTGACGGCAGTGGGGGGGTGTTAATGTCGAGGATAGGGCCAGGTTCCAGACGGGAGAGGGAGCGGCGAAAGCAAATCTGCCGACTTAAGCCACTTCGCGACTGTACGTTAAACCAGGTTCTGACGAAGCCCTGAGGGACGAGGCCCGCCCGGCCATGGAAAGGCGGGGGGGGGGCAAATCGTCGCTCGGGAGCCCTGAGTAGTATCGGCGGGGCGCGAGCGGGCTCCTCCCGGCGTTGCCGACACAACGTTCGGAGCTGCGTCTCTCGGCCAATCAGCGGCCGGCGGGCGCGCCTTGTTGCCTTGGTGCCCGCCCACATGCCCCTCTTTGCCTTGTGCTCTAATGAGCGCGCGCGGAGGGGGGGCGTTGTTAGCGGAGCCCGGCGCTGCTTCTCGCGTTCCCCCCCCCGCCTACCCACCGCAGGAGGTGCGGAGACGAGAGAAGACGGGGTGTCTGTCTAACGGAGAAGAAGCTGGAAGGCTTTCCCGGTCTTTTTGCAGATTCCCCTGGAGAAGTTTCCCTAAAACAGCCCCGCGGTGTCGACCAGAATGGAGTGGCTGAACTGCTCGCCCGAAAGCGCAGGGAGCCCGCGCCGGAGGGTGAACTCGGAGCGTCTGCCCGGCTCTGCTTCAAGCGTCCGCCTTGGAGGAAGCGAGTATGTGGTCACCTGGGCATCGATAATAACCCGCCAGAAGCGACGTGTGGGGGTGGGCAGGAGGAATGCCGACTTAATGAGCTCTTGGCGTGTCTGGAAATTCAGCGTAGGACCCTTGTCTTACATGCACCACCACGTCGGGCACTTGCTTTAAACCCGTAGCTCAGAACCCTAACCCTTTCCAGGTTTTCCTAGGTGTAAGAGTACTCTCAAGAGTGGTTTACTGTTGTCTTCTCGGATCACTCGGGGACTGGACAGCTTGCCCACGGCTATCTAGGCTGGGTTTTCTTGGACAAGGCGCAGTGGGGATTCGAACTCCCAACCTTTCCCAACTCACTGAGCTATGCAGCCAGCATAGTTCACAGGAATGTGCCCTGTAATGTACTGAATTAGCTGTCTCGACATGAGCGGGCAGCATCCGGAGTGCAGACAAAACAATGTTTTGGGTTTTTTTTTATTAAAATGTTTTTTATTTTAAAAAGAAAAGGGGCTTTTTCTTCTCTTTTTGTTTATCATTGTAATTTTAATTTTAAAAGTGCTATAGCACAAAGTCTTAATGTGGAATGTTGGTTATAAATTCTAATTCTGTATTATGAACCAATATGCAAACACCTGTACTTTTTAAACGGATTTCAAACCTCCACTGCCTTGTGGCTATATCCACTCATGGAAAAGGCTTCAGGAGTTAACCTCGAGGCAAAATCCGGAGCTGGAGTCCCGAAGGCAGCATGTGTCGTTCTGCCAACTCCTGCGACATTGCTGGAACCAGTTGTATTGGCTCTTGCCTTTCCATTGGACCATTTCAGCAATGTGGAGAGAGGGGATCTGCTGCTTGGGTAACAGCCTATCCTCCATATTACCTTACCCGGGCTTCATGCTCTGGAGAGGACACTCCTCAATTCAGAGCATGTTACCATAGTCTCTCGAGACTGAAGGATGCCTATGCTATGCTAAGTAAAGGACAACGGTTCTTCAATTACAATTGTACTTTTACAGGGTTTCACAGGCTTCTGTGCAGATTATTCAGATTAGTTTTTAACCTGTCCTAGTGCTCAGTTTAATAAGTATCACTAGAAGAATTTGCAGTTCTTAAACTGCATTTGTGTTTTCAAAGATGTAGCCTTGTTTAAAGCCAGATACGGAAGTGAGAAATAGCAGACCTGCTCTCAGCTTTGTTTTGCAACTCTTAATCAAGCCATTTCTGGAACTCGCTTTCTCTCTGCAAGTGAGGCTCATTTCTTTACAGGAGAACTTTAACTATTGTACTTTTGCAACTTTGGGAGCACAAAATCAGGGTATTACTTCTCTCTTTGAAAGGGCACACAAGTAGGGAGCACAGTGTTTGCTCATATTGACACCACCTCCAACATTCCTCTATACATTGACATTTATGCTGTCTGAAAGTGCATGCTTTCAGACGTGACATCTGCAATAATAGAGGATTATTGGAAGTAGAGTCAAGGGGATGGTGAAAAATACTGTATGTGTAAAGCTTATAGTAAGCAAGAGTGCACTGTAGGGAAGAGAGCATCACATGATTGTACAGAGTCAGAGTATTTAAATCATAATTTAAATCAAATGCAACATGGCTGCAATGTTATATTTTCTTTTAATTTTTTTTAATTTTCCAAAACAAATACATCAATACAAAACAATACAAAATACTGACTAACGATCTAAAACCCAGGGCACCCCCAATACCCACAGGAACTTTTGGACTAATTCTTTTATTACAAACCTCTTTTCTAAAATTCTATTGATTGTGGCTTAAGAGGCTTTCCCCTTTTCTCTCACTAATACAAATTCGATAAATCTACCTCAAATATTATAAAAATATCCAAAATTATTTCTCCTCTTCATCTTTAGTTCAGTATTCAATTTGTCCTTTAACGCAATGTCCCATACTTCGTTATACTAATCTTCTAATTTGATATCAAGCTTGTCTGAACTAATTTTTAAAAAATTCTCCTTTATTTTTATTCTTATCTTAAAACTCTCATCTTCCAAATTTTTGTCCAATCCTCTGTTCTAATTTCTGTCTTTAAATCATGGCCCCAAATTTATTTTAATCCTTCTATTTCAATCTCATTTTCCTCCTGATCCAAAATTAGATTATAAATGTTACTTACTATTCCCTTCTTCAAAATATCCTTCTGCATGTCTTCATGTGATGATAGAAATTGTTCATACTTAGTACATTATCTGCATTAATCCTCAACCATTCATTAGTCCATCTGTGTAATTGGATATAATTGTACCATGATAATTTATTAGTTTGAAGTTTAACTATAATCTGATCCTTCAAACTCATTTTAACCACCCAATCCTTCAGTCTGGCAACTTTTTTATCCTTAAACAAATCAACAAAGCCCTTCAAGTTTGCTGGCAAATTTTCACAAAACCCTTCAAGTTTGCTGGGAAATTTTGAATTTCAGTCACTAATTTTAGTACCTAAAAGGACAAAACTGCTTTTTATATCTGTGCCACACATTTAACATGTTTCTCAAGAAGGGGTCATTCACCTGATTAATTACATTGAACAAGTATTTTTCAATGTTTCCATGTATTTCTGAAGATTCCATATCCCACCAAATTAATCTTTCTTCGTTATATATAATATCTCCAATAAATCTAAGTTGATTCGCTACATAATAATTTTTTTATATTGGGAATACCTAAACCTCCACTTTCTTTAGTCTTATACCAATATCTTTGATTTATTCTTGATTTTTTTACCTTTATTACAAAATCCTTTAATTAATCCCTGCCAATACTTAAAATCATTTTCTTTTAATTGTATTGGAAGCATCCTAATTGGAAAAGTTATTCTTGGTAATATTTTCATTTTAACCATAGTGATTCCCCCAAACCATGAAAGATTGAATTTAGAGTACTCCTGGAATTTATCTTTAACATTGCTTTTTAATTTATTAAAAGTTTTCTCCTTTAATTGTTGAGTCACTTTGATTATATTTATACCTAAGTATTTAATATAGCAACACATTTTGAAACCATATTTATTTACAAACTTTTCTTGTTCACATTTGTTGTGATTAAACATCATTACTTGTGTTTTTGCCAATTAATAATTAATCCTGTTATTTCCCCAAATTTTTCTCAATGAATGTCAATTCTATTCATACTTTCTAATGGGTTTTTAATAGTTAATAATGAGTCATCAGCAAATAAATTAATCTTAATTGTATCATTTTTACCTAATTCTTTAATTAAGTCATCACTTATGATTGCATTAGCTAACAATAAGCACTAAAGCTGCAGAAATCAAAGCCAGCCCTGCAGAAACTGTAGAACTACAGGCTTTTGACACTTTTCATACTAGAAGTATGACTTGCTAGCAGCGGCAATGATTTCTCTTTCTTTAATGGTGCTTAGAGGAAGATATGATGACAGTGGGGCAACGGAACGCACCACATCGCTACAGCATCTCTCCCATGTGTGTCGCTGGCCACCCCAGGGCAGAGCAGAGGGCAACACACGGGCCATGCGTTGCCATCAAAGCAGACAGAGGACCCGCTCCCAGGGTAAACATGAAAGAAACACCTGCCCCGTACCCCATGCCATGCCACAGTGCCATTCCATCCCCCAAACTCACCATACAGAGCTGTCCAAGTCTGATTAATTACATCTAGACATACAGTTCCTGACCTGAAACAGACAAAGAAATGGCGTGATGTCTTCGATTTTTACGACTTGGCAATGCTGATGTGGAGGAGGAGCGCAGAGGAGTCTGAGCTGGGAAGCCCCCCCCCACACACTTTGCCTCTCTAGAATTAACACACTCCCTGTGACCAGCAGCAGAGAGGAGACTGCAGAGATGAGAGAGAGATTAAAGGGTCCAAAGACAGGTAAGGTAAAGGGATCCCCTTGACATTTAGTCCAGTCGTGTCCGACTCTAGGGCAAGGTGCTCATCTCCGTTTCCAGGCCATAGAGCCAGCGTTTGTCCAAAGACAGTTTCCATGGCCAGTGCAGCTAGACACAGAACGCTGTTACCTTCCCACTGAGGTGGTACCTATTTCTCTTCTTGGATTTTTACATGCTTTCGAACTGCTAGGTCGGCAGGAGTTGGGACAAGCGACAGGAGCTCACTCGGTGGCGTGGATTTGATCTTACAACAGCTGGTCTTCTGACCCTGCAGCACAGAGGCTTCTGCGGTTTAACCCACAGAGCCACCACATCCCTATATCATTACTTACCCGTATCGTCCCCAGCCGGAACGGATTAATCGCGTTTCAATGCATTCATTTTGAGTTATGACCATCTTCTGGAACGGATTAAATTCGTAAATCGAGGCACCACTGTATCCCACTCTTAATCAACACAGTCTTTAAAGAGTTTAGGGTTAGCAACATGTACACTTTCCTTATCTTTCTCTTCGAAGGTTTATGTGCAAAAACCCCAGTCTTCAAAAGCAAGAAGTGTATTTTAAAAGTTGTTTAACATACCGGCAATGCGGAGGTTCAGTTCTTAGCTGCTCATTCCTCCCGAGCAGAAGTGATGTCCCAATTTTATATTTTCTGAGGGTACAGAAGATCTGAACCTACAACCATATTACATTTGATTTAAAATCATGATTTTAATACAGTAACTATTTTAACTATTTTTGTGAACATGTATTGCATAGTCTCTGTTTCCTTCTAGTGGCCAGTTTTGGTAATACATCATGAAAATGCATATTTCTGGAGGTACGTATTTAATAGTTTCAGGAAGCAAATAAGTGAAACCACAGGTACTAATCACACAGATCATGTGGTCTTGCTTTACAAGAATTCTATAAATATGCATAAATTTAGTGTAAATTTTTTGCATTCTACTTGACAAAAATCCTTAAACCTGAAAGATTACTTCTTAAAATACATTTTAGATTGTGTTTTGAAAGATTAGTTCAAATAAGATAATTCTGGTTTGGGACTGTGATTAACACAGAATTTCTCACCCACTGCATGTCTTTTCAGAGAAAGCAGCGTCTTGTCTAATGAACAGTCTCCCAAAGAATCCCCTGTGGAAAATCTGGATGGTGTTCTGGATCACTGTTTTAAACAATTCAAGCTCAGAGAGGCACATCCACACTTTTTTCTAAAAGTGAAAGGAAATAGATTTGGCCCACCCAGATCGAGACGTCGCATTCTTATTGCCCCTCCCATGAGAGGAGGGACTCCTGGGTTGCCCCAATCTTGGCCATCAGTGCCTTCCGGTCCAGAGGAGAAGAAAGTTCTACGTTTGGAAACAACACCTGAGGCAGAGGATAAAACTTCTAAAGAGGAGGAGGATATGCAAGAATTGGAGGCTTGGATTGAGGAGAGGAAGAAGTTGCAGGATTTGCTGAAAAACTGTGTCAGTCTTGAGGAGTGGTTGACAGCAAAGCAACCCATCAGCCAGCTGGAAGTAAACGTCTTGGGCAGAATAAGAGAAAACCGAGAAGCAAAAACGGCTAATGCAGAAGCCAAGTTAGCTGCTGTTAGTAGCATTGAGGTAAATAAAGGAGAGAGTCCTCTGTGTGGCCTCATCGCTAGTGCAGGGGAGAGGGAATTTGGCCTGCAACAGGCCTGAGAGATCCAGCTTTCCCTCCCCACCATCCTGCACTCAGGTTGCCTTCGAGACTACAGACAGGACAAGCTCCATATTATGTCTCTGAGATCATATCAGAGCTAACAGTAAAATTCCCCACCTGCTGATTTGCATTCACTGCTGGAAACTCCAGCAAGAATAAGGACCGCTCCCTGCTATTTCAGATTGGAGCTAACAGAAGCATTCCCCCTGTTTTCTCTAATGTGAGCTCAGAGATAAGGCCAGAGGCGTCAAACTCTGGGCACAGAGAGGAGGAAATAGACACAAGAGAGGGCCTCTATGACAATCCCTTCTCCGTGTCCCTCTCCTATATCTCTGAATAATGGGACCTGCTCCCTGTGATATCATCAAAAGAGAGGGCCTCTATGACAATCCCTTCTCTGTGTGTGTCCCTCTCCTATATCTCTGAAGAATGGGACCTGCTCCCTGTGATATCATCAGCTCCATTGGCTTAGTTCTGCGCATTAGGAACGGGAGATATCCAGCCTGCAGGATCAGTTCACTTCCCACCTTTGGGTTGAAATGTTGGGCTGCAGTGGGGAGACCGAGGCTGAAAATCCTATTTAGCACTGAAGTGCACGCAGTAACTTTGGGTCAGCTACGTGCTTTCTCTCCTCCTCTGCATCTACCAAATACTACTGTTTTGTGGCTCAAGCCTCCTCTCCTTCCCAGTGCTCTTTGGTGCCTGCATCTACCAAATACTACTGTTTTGTGGATCAAGCTTCCTTCCCAGTGCTCTTTGGTGTATGGTTGGAATAAGAAAAATGCAGTACTGTTTGTTTTATAGGCACCTTTCTCCAAATACTATCATATTCCATAGCCTGCTTTCTTTGACTTGCCAGAAGGACCTGCAAATCTAGGTTATACTTTTAGTTGGTCTAGGATAGCATGGCTCTTTGCAGGTTCAGTTGAGCTCTTGAATTACTAGCCAAAGATCTTTGCAGGTTCAGTTGAGCTCTTGAATTCTTTACTAGCCAAAGTGAAAGCAAATCTTCACATCAGTTCAGAAAGTTAGCAATATGTTGAAATTGAAATTCAAATACTTGCATACCAGTGTTTTCAAAATGCCTGTTTTGGAATCTGAGGGATCTATTTTAGAATCATACCATTTAAGCCTCCGTGTTTAGTTTCAAGATAGTGACATGAAGTTCATTATCTGTTTGCAGGGTCTGTTTGCATCATCTTGCCCCTGATTCCTCACCGCCACCAGATCTCTTGGTTTTTCCCCCCTGTGCTTTTTATCAGAGAAGTATTGCTTCCTCTCCGACCAATTTCCCCTACATTTTCTGCTGGAATATAATTATCAGCATCCATTTATTACTGCGTGGATTGATAACATATCTCCTACCAGATCTTGCTGGACTGTAACTCCCACAATCCTTTATCACTAGCTGTGATGGCTAGGACTGATGTCAGTTGTAGTCCAACAACATATGGAGGGCCCCAAGTATCCCATACCTGGCTTATAGACAATAACGTTTTTTTTTAAAAGGCAATTTAATGTATGCCCCTCCTTTTTCTTTTAGCATCTGATGCCAAAGAGAGCCAAGAAGAGAATTGTTCCTCTTATCCACGCACCGTATCCCGAATCCCTCATCACTCTGCAGATGCTCCTACATAAGCAGAAACTTAAGCTTGTGGATCTTTTCAACAAAGCTGACAGGAGCAAGTCAATGAAGTTCAAGAGAGCCGACTTCATTAGAATTATCGAAGCGGTAGGTGCAGCCTTTCTCTCTGGGCATGTAGCAGTAAAGCATTTTCCTTTTGGGGTCAGAGTAGGAAGAAACAGGATTGTTAAGCAGAAGTCCATTTTGTTTAGCATCTCTCTCCGTTTTGGTTGAACAGATCTTGTCAGCTTCACAGATAGTGAAATAATGTCCCAGGCAAGGGACAGATACTAGATCCAGAGCTAGAATAGAGCTGTTCAAATCAATGAGACTTAAGTTAGCTATGACTGACTCATCCCATTGATTCCACAATCCCTAAACAGGATTACATCTGGGTTCATTCCTTAGTATTGTAACCAAGCGAGGGTGCAACCGCATCAGGAAAAAAATCTGCATTGATCTATGAATTTGCACCTGAGAAGTAAGAGTTTTCTTGGGTGAATTCTTTTTAGCCGATCACACAGGAATCAGCAGAGAAAGAGGAGTTAATTGGGAATCGGCCCTTGTTTGCAGCTTGCTAAGACAGCTTTTGCTTTAACTGGTCAGATTTGCACCAGGCACAGCAACAACAGAACTACCTTAACAAGGTACAAAGAAGGGATGATTAGCAATTTCCTACTCTCTTGGTGCGCTGGGATCAAGCCTTTTTTAAAAAAGGAAATTACAGTATTAGGAAAGATCCAAAACCTCCTTGGTATCTGTTACGCCATTTGAGGGGAACTGACCTGTTCTTCTCTCCCCACCCCACCAACTACCCATATCCCTGCACACTTTTCTGTGTAAGCATAAGCAATCACATCATCTGAAGCGATGCAAATGCATAATACTTTAATGCAATGCTACTTTAATAGCTGAAAACAGCTATTATGGACAGGCTCATAAGGGGGTTCTGGGGACCTCTGATTTTCAGCATGTTGGATCCCTCGGGGTGCTCTTCATTCCCCCTTTGCTATGTGATGTATGCACAAATCTGCTCATCCAGAATTGTCCAGAATTTTGGAGTTCAGTGCCACCAGTTTGGTGATGATGCCCAACTCTTATCTCCCCTTTCCATTTAACTCCAAGGAATCTGTTTGGGTTCTATGTCCATGTCTGGTGTCACTCATGGACTGGGTAAGGCTGGACTGGGGGGGGGGGGTGTTCCCCTGAGACTTAAGGTTTGCAGCTTGGCTGTACTCCTGGATTCACCAGGAGCCTGGACGCTCAGGACTTTCTGGATGGCTGGGAATTTATTTGCATAGATCAACTTGATGCGCTAGCTGCACCCTTTCCTAAAAATGTCTGACTCGGCGGTTATGGAGCCCCACGCCTTGGTTATCTCCTGCTTGGATTAAATGTAATGCACTCTGTGGAGCTGCCTTTGACAATTGTTAGGACACTTCAGCTGGATCAAAATGCAGCAGCCAGATGATAGATTGGGGTTGGGTACCAGGAACAAGAGTTTTGCTAGCAACCAGTCCATTTCAAGTTCCTGTATAAAGTCCTGGTTATGACTGTAAAGCCTTCTATGCTTGGTTTCTTGAAGGACTGTGTTTTTCTATATAATCTGGCTTTTGAGGTCCTTCTCATGGTCCTACTGCCCTCACAGGCATGTTTGGCAAGAACACAAGAGAAGACCTTTCCAGTGGTTGCTGCAAGGCTATGGAAGTTTCCTTTCAGGCGAAACTAGGTCGGCCCCCTTCTATCTTGACCTTCCCCCAGCAGACAAAGACCTTCTCTTTTCTGGTGGGAATGTAAAGTGGTTAAGAAATTTTGGGAATTGATTTTTAAGGAAATGTGTGATATATTTGGTAAAGATACTGATCTTAATGCTGAAATTGCTTTATTGTCAATTTTTGATAACACAGATTTGGCTCATTACTCAAAAGAATTAATCACTAATTTTATGACAAGTGCTAGAATATTAATAGCTAGATTTTGGAAAGACAAGAATGATATTAAAATAGAAGACTGGTATTGTGAAGTATGGGACATTGCATTAAATGATAAATTGACTATGGAACTTAAAATAAAAAGAGGGGAAATAAGTTCTAACAATTTTTATATTTGAGGTAAATTTGTGGAATTTGTGTTAGCGAAAGGAAAGGGGAAAGCCTCTAAAGAATACTCAATACAATTTTGGAGAGGTAATCTGTAATAAAATATTATTAAATAGAGTCCCGTGGGTATGGAGTACACATTAGAATTTAGTTTAAAATAAGCACTATTATTTGTATTTTTTTCTGTATTTTTGTGGTTATGTATGTTTTTTTGGGTTTTTTGTATTATAAAATAAAAAATTAATTAAAAAAAAGACCTTCTCTTTTCAAGCACACTTTTGAAAATCCAATGTCTGGGAAATTAATTTTAGTGGAAAGCTGCATTTTCCATGGTGTGTTTTATACTAGTTTTTAACCATTGTTGACAGGTGCCTTTTGACATTGGTATATTTTTAATTGTATTTCAGTACTATAATTTTTGTGATTTTAGTGGTCTGTATCTTTCACTCCTTTGTAAGCCACTTTGGTTCTGCTGTTGGGAGAAAGATGAGACAGTAATTAAGTAAACAATCAACAAATAAACTGGCCAGGATCTGTGCTGGATGGGACAGACTGAATGTATTCCCAAACTGTGGTTTGGTTGTAGTAAAGGGGATACCCATCAGAGCAATTATTGGTTGATATCCTTCAGTACTGTAATGTTTGTGATTTTAGTGGTCTGTGTCTTTCACTCCTTTGTAAGCCACTTTGGCTCTGCTGTTGGGAGAAAGATGAGACAGTAATTAAGTAAACAATCAACAAATAAACTGCCCAGGATCTGTGCTGGACAGACTGAGTGTATTTCCAAACTATGGTTTGGTTGTAGTAAATGGGATACCCATCTGAGCAATTACTGGTTGATATCCTGATGCTTAGTGTATTACGTAAGTCACACTGGAGTAAGCCCACTGAGTCAGCAGAGATTTGGTGAGTCAACTCCTTTACAGGTTCCATTGATTTAAATAGGCCTACTTTAGTTGCAACTTACAGTGCCAAAGTAAGTCACAACTAGAGTAAGCTAGATGAATCTGTTGTATGGAAATTGTAGAGAAATTTCCTAAGTAACCCAAGGTAAAGAACCAGTGAGCTAGATGAATCTATTGTATGGAATTTGCAGAGAAATTGATTCGTCAAATCCCAACAGTTTCAGTGGGCCTACTGTTGGCACAGTAAGTTGCAACTAGAGTAGACCTATTTAGAGCAGGGCTTCACTAAGCCACAGGATTTCAGACCCTGTGGTGACCCTTTCTCCTCAGATGATGGTTGCCCACCTTCAGTCTTTCTGTGATGAGGTCTGATTGCAGTATTGATTTTATACAGACCAAGGTGCCTATCAGTAAAAGTGACCTGGAAGACATTATCCTTTTCCTCACAACGTCAACCAAAGGGAATTATATCACCAGCGATGATCTGGCAGAGTGTCAGAGAATATGGGCGGACAAGATAAGAGATCAGTGGAAGAACACGAAAGAGTCCAAGCCAGGTAAAGAAAAGAAACGAAAAAGCAAGTGGTGGAATGGTTTGAAACTATTAGAAACAGCAGGTTGTTTTAATTTTTTTTCCCATTTAACTTTCTCAGTCTTGGAGAAATCTATGGCTCCTTTTCTGTACCCAGCATGGTAAGAATTACAGTCGGACCACATCTGGGGGCACGAGGGATTGGGGAAGGCTGATCCAGAGCAATGCACATTGTCATGTGTTGTGGCAATGAGTAGACCTGTCCTTACGGGCTTCCTAGAGGCATCTTGTTAGCCAAGGTGGGAACGGGATGCTAGATTGGTCTGATCCAGCAGAGCTCTCCACTTTTTTTCATCTTACATTCTGGATCCATATGTTGTTCTTCCGTAAATAAAGCCTGATCAAATGTAAAAACAAAAAACTAAAAACCAACCTCTCAGACTTAGGAAATGTTATCTTTCCAGGATGGGACACAGTTCTTCAAACCCCTCAACCACTGTAGTCACTAGCCAATTCTAGCTGGGGAGTTTTGGAATTACACTCTAAAAAATTAACTTTTTCTAAGCTGTGGAAGAGCTGAGAGGTGTCTATTAAGATAACAGGCATAGTTGCTTGTTGCTAGTGTGTTTGGGTAAAAGTTTAGTGGGTTTGTAAATTTAATCTGGTGTCTTTTCTCTTTCCTCTCCTCCTCTAATGCTTTCTTCTTTCTGGTAAAGACAGGAAAGAATTACCCCTTGGCGGCCCCAAAGCAGCTTCGGTTTCTACAAAGAGGGTCTCCTCTGGCCAGAACAAGGCCAAAGAGCTTCCTGTTCACATTGACTGTTTGCAAGTTCCTCCTCCCAACACGGAGCCAGAGTGCGTGCATCTCACGTATAATCAGATGGAGATGGTTGGGAAAAGGTATCGGGAAATGAGGCGGCAATTAAAGGTACTGCTTTTTTATAGCAGAATTGTTGCTTTGACAATGGGATGGCCCATGCTTGCAATTACTTGCTTAAGAGTATTGTCCGAATGGGGTGTATGTGTGTGTATGTGTTTGTATAAATATATAGAACTTAGGTAACTGTTTCACTCTTAGCATCTGCTCTTCAGATATTTTCATTTCCTGATTGTGCCATTATGATAGGGGCAGAAAAACTGCAGAATGGGAGCCACTGCAGGCATCCCCCAAAGCCATTTTGTGACTCCAAAATGACTCCACCATTGTAAAATGATCAGTTTTTTAAAAAAATCATTTCCCATTTTGTGAAACTTCCTAGGTAACAATTTTGCAATAAAACAGGGTGCATCCCCCACCATCTCCCATAGCAACATTGGCTTTTTTAGATAGACTGACTGAATGTTCTAGATGCTGGGAGTGAGAAACAGGGCAAACTGCCCAAACAGTATCTTATGATTAAAGAATTCCTCTTTGTATCAGAAGCTTCCAAAGTGGAAGGATCAGCTGACAGGGTGCTCTTGTTGCCCAGGGGACACCTGCATGAGTCCACAGTCCTCACATTCCTTCCATGTCCTCTGATCAAGCAGTGAAAAGTACAATCAAATAAATCAGTAAATACAGCAGAAAGACAACCAGATGAAAATTTACCTATAAATGTCCACAAGAATAATAAATGTCCAACAACTTGTCCCCTTCTATTTGCCAGGAGGCGATGGGACCAGTGGCCATGATCTTAGTTTTTTTTTTTTTTTGAAGTTGACCTTCAGACCATTTTTTTTGCATTTTCCTCTTTCACCCTCCTTAAGAGGTTCTTTAATTCCTCCTCACTTTCTGCCATCAGAGTGGTATCATCTGCCTATCTAAGGTTGTCGATATGATATGAAGTGGCATGCATTTCCTTATTATTATAGGTTATCAGCAAAGAAGAGTCAAGCAACCACTCATTTCATCCACCTGTATGGTGTGGCCAAGACTGCACCCCAAAAGGGGGACAGTCTGAATAAGGCCTCTTAACAAGATTTTAGTAGTTTGAAGAACAGGCCTTTGAGGATTTGTAATTAGCACCTTGAACTGAGCACTGATTGCCAGCGCAGTTGGTGCAGAATTGGTGTTTCTATGGTTCACTCAAGCTACCCCAGTTAGATGATGTCCTGCGATGCCTGCACTAGTTAAAGCTTCTGAAACCATTCGTTGGCAGCTTCTGGGGAGAGTGCAGGGCAACAGTGCTCCGTCACGATAGGGAAAGAAGAGGTGCTTGCAGTTAGTTCCCTCCAGTTCCAGGTGGAAAATCTTTCTAATAGCTTCTGTTGAAGGCAAATAAAAATAACACTCAACTGGCACTGTGCTGTTTTAGAGCTGAAAAACATGTTTTCTTCTTGCTGCAGAGGAAGGTTGATCCCCTAAGTTTTGCTGAACAGTGTCGAATGGTGAAGACCGGAGACTTGGCAGTGGACGGTCATTGCCTGCCAAGCACCATGGAGGGTGAAGTGGGAGACCTAGTGGACCATCACCGACTTGCTACCCACCTGGTCTACACTCAATGTGTCAAGCTTTGTAAAAAATACCAAGTTCCACTTACTGAGAAGGTGCTGAAGAGAGGTATGGTAAAACCAGAGGATTAGCTAGAATGCCACAGATTAGAACAGTGCTGTCTGAACTTTGCTTTGTGTTCCGAATGGGTGGACTTAGGATGGAAGAGCTAGGTGACAGGAAAACACAGTGCAAATATAACTTATGAGCAGCTGGCCAGTTGTATGAAGGAATACATTTGACTAAGCCTACAGAACCAAACCCACTTGCTACAGACTTAAGATCCTCTAAACTTCATGAGGTTTACTTCTGAGTAAAGTAATTCTGTATAGATAAAGGTAAAGGTTCCCTTTGACAATTTTTGTCCAGTCGTGTTCGACTCTAGGGGGCGGTGCTCATCCCTGTTTCCAAGCCATAGAGCCAGCATTTGTCCGAAGACAATCTTCCGTGGTCACATGGCCAGTGTGATTTAGACACGGAACGCTGTTACCTTCCCACTGAGGTGGTCCCTATTAATCTATCTTGGGAGCTGGGACAAAGCAATGGGAGCTCACTCCATCGCGTGGATTTGATCTTACGACTGCTTGGTCTTCTGACCCTGCAGCACAGGCTTCTGCGGTTTAGCCTGCAGCGCCACCACGTCCCCTCTGTATAGATAGCCCTGCCCTAAATCCACAGATTTTAGTATTTTGGGCATGGAAACAAACATCCTGAGGATTCTTTGCTTCGCTTTAGAAGATTCCCACCCATCACTGTTTCTAACCCTTAGAGCTGCAGACTGTAAATACAGGCTCCAGAATGTGGGCAAATTCCTGTAAGAAGGAAAAGGGAGGCAGGGGGATACTGAAGGAAGTGTCCTGATCCTTGTCCCTGCTTAAGGACAAATAGTTAAATCAGATGAGCATTCTTGTTTAACAAATTGATACTGATGGCAGTCGAATTCAGAACGGGTTGGGCTCCTTCAGACCACTAGTACTGTATGTGTAGATTGCCACCACTCTAGAGTCACCGCTCCATGATTCATGAGAAGATTGTCTGAACATTCCCAGGATCCGTTGCATGGCTGAGGCTGCCTGAAGCTTTGCCTTTGTTTCACCAGGTCTGCTGTACCCAGGAGACAGAATCCTACGAGAAGGGAACAGCTTTCGGAAGATAAGGCAGCCAGGGGGTTATTATAGTAAATCCATGGGCTCTGAAGAAGCCTCAGAAGAAGAAGAATCTAGAGTCTCTTCCAGGGTTACAAAAAGGTTTGTTCTGTTTTCAGGATAAATCGCCCATTGCCGTCCCCAATACATGAAGCAGAAACATTCTCTCAGTTTCTCAGACTGGGATGTCTGAGACCATGTCAGTCGTTGTCCTCAGATGGTTTGAAGACTTTGATTGATTTGCTTGCTGTTATAATTATTATTCTGAGCTTCCCAGAGGCCTTTGTCTGGCCATTGATAGAAACAGAATGCTGGAGTAGGTGCTCCTTGCATTCATTCCTATGTCCATTCATTTGTATGCCTGTACAAGACACCTGTTGGCCATTTATGTTTTAGGTCATGTAGCATGAACGTAGAGTATTCTTCATACTTGTACCGTTTTTTAAAAAGATACATGCTGCCTTTGTAAAAGTGTTCTGCAATGATTTCTTGCTTTTTCTTAGCTTGTTGTACTTTTTCCATTAGAGTTTTGCAATCAGACAAACTCCGTTCCAGTATATTCACCCTAATCATTCTGTCTCGCTGTCTCTCACTTTTGTTGTCCATTTGTCTAAACTGTTGTTTCTCCTCCTTTTGTAGGAAACCTCAGCCAAAGGCTGAAAAGAAACAGGTCATAAATGAGAAGACGATGAAATACCGCTGGCAGTCCTTTGAAGAATTTAAGAAACTAATGACGTACGTGTTAAGTGCATTGGAAATATGTGAAACTACCCAATTTGGCTTCTACTGTCTTTCTTTACTTCTTCTAACATCTGAAACAGGAATGGGCAAAGTGTGGTCTGCAGTTCCATGTGGTCTGCAGGGACATTTTTATGGGGCCCCCAAGACAATCTATTTCTCCATTTAGAAATCAGTCTTTGTACTAGGAGCTGGGGGGCGGGATCCTCAACCTGCCCACTATCAAAACTAGAGGTGCCTCTTTCATCACTTTATATGTTTTTTTCCAAGAAAAAAGGCCATTCTCAGTCTTTTTTTTTTTTTTTTTTTGGACTGGGGTGGCCTGTGGCAGGGCCAAGGGCTATAATTGGGCCACAGGCTTGTTCATTTTGCCCATATTTGAGGCAAAATTGCCTGCAACCTCCTCTCTGCCCAGAAAGACTGTCCAGTTGCTCTTTGTTTTCCACCGAGCAAGGTGTCTGTTGGTTTTGCCCAAGGATACAGTGAGATTTTATGTTTTCAACAATGAAGGAACAAACATTGGCATCTCACCTGCTTCCAGAATGCTTCTATCTTTCTAGGTCATACAGCCTTTTTAGTTTTACAATTTTCACTACATGTGTTATATCCCGAAATATACCTGCAGGAAAAATCCCTTTTTACATACACACACCAGTCTTTATATCAGACTAAATCAGATCTGGATCAGAAATTAGAAACCTTTGACTCTCCAGAAGTTTTAGACTTTAATTCCCACAATCCCTTACTCTTGCCTGTGTTGAGTGAGCCTGACGGGAGCTGTGAATCAAAACACAGAGGAACAAATGGTCTTGGCCCCTGACCCCCTTGCTGTCCTCGAAGCTGAATTTCCCTCTTTCTTCCCACTGCCAGGACTAGCAAAGAGATAATAGGGTGAACATTCAGAACTGCTGAGAGATACCTTACTCCATCAGTGTGACGTTACTTTAATTCAGTACAATTTATTTATTTATTTATTTATTGGACTTATATACCGCCCCAAAGCGCTACAAGCACTGTCTGGGCGGTTTACAATTTTAATTATACAGACACTCAGCAGGCATGATTTGTAGGTTTCAGTGGGTATGTTTGCACGTGTGTATTGGGACAGCTATTGTTTTAGACATGAGGCTCAGGAGCTAGATCTGAATCTATCGGGAGATGTCCTGAGTATGTTCTATGGGCCTTAAGTAGATATTGGGCCCAGGCCACACCACTTTCCTGCCAGCTGGGTGGGCGCCAACTTTCACTCTTCCCGTAGGCCTGTTTTATACGTCTCTGGTGTGTTGCTTTTCCAGAAACCGCTCCAAAAAGCTGCTTCCTCCTGTGGATTTCTGGGTTGATCCGTTCTACTATGATGACATATTCAAGACGCCAGAAGAAGTATATGAGGAAAGGTATGAGATAGTCTTTATTGCTTTTTAAGTGGGGCTTGAAGCTTCCTTTGGGATTACTGTCATACCTGAAGGGCATCTCTTGTCCTATTCGCTCATATTGAACCCACGCAAAATGAGGGGGATGCGAGAGCTCTTGTCTCCTTCTTTCATCATTTTCCACAGAGGAAAACCACACTCTGGGCAGAGGCAGGCTGTTTTCTCCTGGGAGAGTCAGTCAGTCTCTCTCTCTCTCTCCCTCTCTCCCCCCCTTTGGCTTCTTCCAGTGCCCTGGTTAATAGTTATATTCTTTACCTCTTGTCTTTGATTCTTTTATACTCACCCCAAAAGCAAAGGTTTCCCACTGGTATTGTATTTCTTTCTCATTTTCCTGCTGGCATTATCTTAATTTTAAAAACTGTTTTTAATGGTTAAAATCCTGTTGCTTAGTACACTAGAGCAGGCCCATTGAATCAGGAGGGGATTCAGTGATCCCATTCCTTTATAAGTTCCATTGATTCAAATAGGCCCACTCTAACTGTGACCTACTGTGCTAAAGTAAGTTGCCATTAGAGTTGTCCCATTTGAATCAATGGCAGGCTAGTGATGTCAATTACAGCACTACACTACAATTGATTCATAGGGTTGCTATGGTTTGGAGTCAACTCGACAATATGTAAGAACAACAGCAAAGGCCACTAAATGTATTCAAAAGAGGAGCAAAATCAATTATGTGCTTCACACAGCCAGAATCCTGAATTAATTCCTGTTTTGCCATGACCTCATGCTCCCTCTGCCCAAAGAGGTCGGAAACATGCAGTCTGTGGGCCACATACAGTTTCCAGAGGCCCTACCAGTAATCCTGCCCCCCCCATTTTAAAATTACTTTGAATAAAAAAAATTGTCTTGAAAAATCCCCTTGTTCTCTCTAGGGGGCATGGAGGCAATTTTGCCATGGTTTCAGGGCTGCCCCAGTGTCACTGCAACCCATCAACCTGCCCAATATTGTTTTCTTTATGGAAAAAAAAATACTTTTTGGCCACTAGAATGCATAAAGGACTTTTTTTAGTGAAAGCAAGAAAGCATTTCCTTAAGGAGAAAATCAGGAAGTGAATCACAGAAGCCGGCATATCCTTCCATGTTTCCAGAATAATCTCTGGAGATTGCCCTCTCTGGTTTTAAAGATGATGAGCCTGGAATCTCTGCATTTAGTTATTTAAGAAACGTTGAACTCAATCTTTCAGCTCCCCAATGGAAATCTAAGGCAGATTGCCTGAACCCTGAAAAAAATGTTTTTAAGAGCCATTTAAAGACTTGGCTCTTTAGGAAGGCCTTCCCTCCTGTCAATTCTTGAAATCTATCTTTTTGTTTTCTATTACCCCCATCTTGAATAATCCATCTTATTGATTCAATTGTTTAATGTTTGATGTCTTCATGTTTTTTATGATATTTTAAGATATTTGGAACCCGCCCCGAGTAGACTCTGTCTAGAAATCGAATGAATGAATGAATGAATGAATGAATGAATGAATGAATGAAAATAGAAACTGATTTTAATAACTAGATTTTATATGAACTACATAATCATTATCACAGCAGAAGAGATGCTCTGAACAGTTGAGTCAGTTTAAAAATGCATCATCACAACAAAAAGAACATTTAAAGAATTTTTTAAATTATTTCTTGTCTTTTCAATGAACCTCTTTGAGGGGGGCCTTTCCACACTCCAGTGGCTGCTGCCCAGAAGGAGCACTTTTGTGTTGTCTTCACCAGCTGCACCTCTGAAGGTTGTGAAAGCACCTCAGCTGTGGGGAAACAGCTCACAAAGAGGTTCATATGATGCGAGAGAGTCCTTTAGAAAGATATTCTGGTCCCAACCTTTTAGGGCTGAAATATTAATCTAGTTTTTAAAATCTAAATTTATCTTTGGTGTTACAAGTGTTTTTGTTGTCAGTGGGGGAGTTTAGATAATTGTCAGTAATATGACTCTATCTGTTCAGATCCCATTTCCGTTTCTGATACACACCTGAGTTGTCTCATATTGTACTGTATTTTCAAGAATTACATACCTTAGTTTCATTAAGCCTTTAATAGTCATTCTTACTGTTCTTGAATATTTGTTTGTGCTCATGTTATAGTTTTCTTTATTTTTTTTGGATTACAGGCAGCTGAGGAAAATGTTTGCTTTTCTGAATCCATTGACTGATGCCAATAGTTTCTGGCCAGGACATCTTCTTGATAAACTGCGTCTGTATCTACCCCAGACACAGCGCCATGCAGGAGATGCTCTCTTCAGCCATGTTTCTTGCACACGCCCTGTCTATCCTGGTATTTATACTCCAGACCGCCACTGGCCAGTCAGCGACCGAGGATATGTGATTTACGGGGATCCAGAGTCCCGAAAGCATCATTATTATATTTGACAGTATTTTGCAGCTTTGGTCAGTCCTGACATATCATGACTGGTTAGCTTTTCTTTTGGATTTTCTGCAATAAGCCGGCATTCTAAATGCACTATTGTGATCAAAAACATGGTAAGAAATCAGTCTGAAAAATACAGTATATAGAGTAGCATGGTTTGGTGAAAGGGGCTATTTCAATTAGTGACTGCTGCATTTTGCATAAGAGTGCCACAGAATTCTCAATGGTGGGACACTTAATCTACAGTTTATGGGATTGCAGGAATAGCTTTGCTGGCAGAGAATGCTTGTACTGCTCTTTTTAAAAAGGAAGCTGAACTATGGTACTAAAAGTAGGGTGTGTGCAACTTTTATAGTATGGCTGGGGAGCCCTGCAGTCCTCTGGATCTTGCTGTATTATAGCGCCTGTAACTTCTTGTCATCAGTAAATGATACTGATAGGCACTGTAGCTCAACAACTGATGAGTATGGAAAGATACCTTAGTGATTGAAGACACTCCTTTCCTTCTAGAAGGTTCTAGTTCCAGACCTTGGGCACATTCATTTCAAAGGAATTCAGAATGTAGAAAGACGTATGTTTGTGTGTTGTTCATTTAAGCACTGAAAAGATGGAAGTGACAAACTCTGGCTTCTGGTTTGGGACTCAGCCTGTTCTAGAATGTGTTGTGGTCTCCCTAAATGTTCCTTACCTGGAAGTATTCCTTGCCCATGCATTGGATTCCCTAAATTCCTAGGTAGCAGCGCAGTGGTTGGAGCTGACTGTATATCTCAGAGGTTGGAAGTTTGATTCCCCTCTGTGCCTTCTGGAAGAAGAGACATCCTGTGTAACCCTGGACAACTGCACAGCCCGAATGCCGCAGAGGAAGAGAAGGGGAAACTGTCACGATCCCCACGTGGCCCCTGCTTGTTTCACCAAACTAATAGCTCACACTACGTGCTCCTCAGCTGCCACCAGATGATTTCATCAACATTGTTGTTGTTTTGTTGTGTCTGACTCTTAGTGACCCCACGGACAGAGCACGCCAGGCCCTCCTGTCTTCCACTGCCTCCCGGAGTTGGGTTAAATTCATGTTGGTTGCTTCGATGACACTGTCCAACCATCTCGTCCTCTGTCGTCCCCTTCTCCTCTTGCCTTCACACTTTCCCAACATCAGGGTCTTTTCCAGGGAGTCTTCTCTTCTCATGAGATGGCCAAAGTATTGGAACCTCAGCTTCAGGATCTGTCCTTCCAGTGAGCACTCAGGGTTGATTTCCTTCCAAATGGCAAGGTTTGTTCTCCTTGCAGTCCAGGGGACTCTCAAGAGTCTCCTCCAACACTACAATTCAAAAGCATCAATTCTTCGGTGCTCAGCTTTCTTTATGGTCCAGCTCTCACTTCCGTACATCACTACGGGGAAAACCATAGCTTTGACTATTCGGACTTTTGTTGGCAAGGTGATGTCTCTGCTTTTTAAGATGCTGTTGAGGTTTGTCACCACTTTCCTCCCAAGAACCAGGTGTCTTTTAATTTCGTGGCTGCTGTCACTATCTGCAGTGATCAGGGAGCCCAAGAAAGTGAAATCTGTCACTGCTTCCATATCTTCCCCTTCTATTTGCCAGGAGGTGATGGGACCAGTGGCCATGATCTTAGTTTTTTTGATGTTGAGTT